CCGTTGAGTCCGCTGAATGCAGCCAATGGGTGCATTTAGTACTACAACCGTTCACTGAGCGCTCAGTGAGCGCTTGCATCTTATTAGCATATTCCGTTAGAACTAAAAATATAAACCAAATAAATACAAAAGCTCACTGAGCGCTCAGTGAGCTCTTGTAGCTGTTTGGTTTATATTTTTAGTTCTAACGGAATATGCCAATCAGATGGAAGAGCTCACTGAGCTCTCAGTAAGCGGTTGTAGTACTGAACAGTACTGAATGCACCCAATTGCTAGATTCACACTGCATCCGATTTTCGTCGTACAACGGTCTGCATCCAATCAGAAAACAGAATTCCGATAATACGAAGCAAAATTCATCGGAATCCTGTTTTCTGATTGATTGCAGAGCGTCATATGATTGCAGAGCGTCGTACGACGAAAATCGGATGCAGTGTGAATCCAGCAAATGCACCCATTGTGAAGCATCAGCTTGAAAAGGCATCTTTAGGACCTCTTTCACCAACCTCGGTTGGCAACCATGTAACCGTCAGTTAGCTTAATCGAAATTGGTGAAAGAGATCCTACTATGGGTGTATTCCGTTTTTACTGGCAGTGCAGTAAACGTGATGTCATCACAGTACACTGCGACAACTGTTCCACAATTACTGCATTACTGTCAGCATAGCTGTAACAGCGTATATCGGAACAAATTTCAAGTGCTATCAACATGGCGATGCACGCAGTAAATAAACAGGTTAAGTTACAAATTTGCATGATTGCAATAGAAATATTGAACGAAAGCAGTGATACCTCATCTGAGAAAGATGAGTGTTATTAGAATTAATCAATTCAATATATGTAATGTTATATTCAAGATCTAATATTTTTATTTTTTCAGTAGTACCAGGGTATTTATCATGAAACATGTCGGAATGAATTCCAATCGTAATTTTCCCGTTTTCTCTAAAAAAATACGATAGAAATGTGAAGAATAATTGAATAATTTTGATCGGTATCAATTCCGAATAATTCCATAATACGTATCTTGATGTGAATATACCTGATATCATTGGCGTTGATAATGCCATGTTCGGCGCCATATTTCTACTGTAACTACCTCACCTCGGCTGTGTTCCAAAATTGTTTGGCAGCGCTGGCAGCACTATCAACACCGTTCCAAAAATCATCGTAGCACGCTGTGGCAGTGCTGCGAGAGAGTAAAGACGTCACTAATTTTGTCGTCATTTCCTGCTGCAATTGCTGTGGCTGAAGAGGTGAAGCAGCTACAGCACAAAGATGGTGGAAAGGATGGAGCAGTTAATCTTAATTGATGCTGAGAGTAATACTGAATTTAAAATAAATATTTTGGTAGAAGATGCTGAGAAAGCAAGAAGTAGTGAGTAGATTTATAATTTTTTTGTAGTCAGATTTTTGTGGTCACATTTATTTATTCATACTTCGAATTCAAATACAGAAATTGGCATAACCTCTGTACAAGAGGAAATCAGAAAGTAAATTGATTTTATTCACATACAATAGGCGTTAACAAAATATGTATATTATTTCTCAATATAATCATTTAGCTTGCATAAAATTTTGTTTAACAATCTACAAATCTGATTCCGTCTATAAAAGAAGCTGGTTTTTGACTGCTCTCGAAACACCAATGGTATATACCGTTTCCTTAACTTCCTCATCACTATTACGATCTTTATGCTTCGAGCAAATTGTGATTTCCATTCATTTGGACTATTAAGGGTCATTAGCTACGTTTACACCGTGCGCTTAGTCCGCGACTTATACGATAGGTGTCTTTGTTTAATATACAGGATAAACAAGGACGTCTATTGTATAGGCCGTGGCCTAAATGCACAGTGTAAACGTAGCCATTGTCACCAAGCGCTTCGATTAACTTAGGGCCATTATCATCAAGCTTCGATTAACTTACAAGGGAACCTCTCGAGGTGATAAATTCTGATTTTAATGAAACTTTGTGAACTTGTAGTTTACATAAAGAGATGAATTTAGAAAATATCAGTTGCTGCCCAAAAGCGGTTTGAAGGGGTGAAATCACCCTTTACGTGTACAGCGGTTTTCAGCTTTTTCCGTTATATCTTGAAAACTACTTGAGATATAAAAAAATGTTTTATACAAAAGTTTTACAACAAAATTAGCTGTATTCAATAGCGTTTTTAGAATAATTATTTAGCAATTTTTTTTCTAAATTTTCGAAAAAAAATTGTTAAATAATTATTCTAAAAAAATATCATTGACGTGAATAAATAGAGGTAATTTTATTGTAAAACTTTTGTATAAAACATTTTTTTATATCTCGAATAATTTTCGAGATATAACGGGGAAAGCAGAAAATCGCTTCACACATGAGGCTTGATTTCACCCTTCGAACTCTATGTTGGCAGCAATTTTCAGAACTTTAAAAAAATTATTATTTTTAAAAATATTTATGATAGATGTAATTTTATTATAAAGCTACTTGTAGAAAAGAATATGATAAAGATAAAGAAAATGATAAAATGCTATCATTTCCACACCACCATCATGAGGTAGATAGCATGGTGCGCTTTTTTTATAGTGGTTTCCCCAGTAGGCCTATTCCACTCTAATTTTTTTATGCACGAATTATTCCAAATGCCGTCATTGACTACTTTGGAACGTTTAAAAGATGTGTTTAAAAAGATATATTATTATTATTACACATAATAATATATTCGCGCGAGTAATATTTAAAAAATGCTTATCAAAATATTGTAAACTTACAACATCCTTCTCCTCATTTTCATAATTTAATAATGCACAGTTAAATAATTTAACTCAAGAAGATGTTTTAATTTGACTCTAATTTATTTACTTTCATACGTTAATGTGAACGTTGCTTATGTTGAAATTAACTACAGAAATGGATTGATTAACATTTTGATACACATGGAAGTAAAAAGATAATAAAATGTTATTTAACTCAAGAAACAGGGTTGCCATTGACATCTAATGGCTCCTTTGACATCTAACAGTGGTGAGTTACGGTACCATATATTTCCTGTAATGTTTAAGCACATTTTTTGTTATAAAGAGCAATGAATGTATTTATTATAAATTTTAAAAACTACTTGTTAATCTCGTTATTAATACTAACATGATTATTATATGACAAAATGTTCACAATTATGATATTCTTCAAAAAAATGCTGCATACAAAGATATTATTATAAAACTAAAAGTAGATATATAAAAATAAAAGAAATATACAAGTTTAGATTATTTTTATATTATAAAAGTTTATATTATATAAGTATATTATTACTATTACTATATATGTTTAAAGTCTTACATATGTCTTCAATATGTACTGTCGTTTAATTTTTGTATAATTTTAGCTTTAAGTATGTTACATTTTAATACTTTCTGTTTAACTTTTGTCACAGGTTTTCGTCATAAAAAAATAATGGATGCTAATACAGATAAAAATGAAGTACTATTTGGTTGGTGTGACAAAAGTACTCGTTTATTGTTAGACAAATACGAGCAATATTTGCCTTTAATTGGACCTATGAAATAATTTAAAAATAAAAAATTAATGTGGATACAAATATCAAATGATATATTAACACAACTAAACATTGAACGAAGCGCTGTACAATGTGAAAATCGTTACAAGACCATATTAAAACGTAAGATGCAATCTGGGAAAAGCAATCAACAGTCAGGTGCAAAAAGAACAAGAGTTGAATTTGAAGAAGAATTAAACAAGATAAAAGCAATAGATGATAGTTTAGAACCTGAAATTTTGCAAGGTCCTGGGAAAATTATTGAAAAGAATAAAGAAAATATACCAAAGGATTGTACAGGAAAAAAAAAGAAAAAAATGACTGTAAGTGAGACTTTGTTACAGATTCAAAAAGAAAAAGAAGAAAAAAGAGAGAAAAGACATAATGAAAGACTTGAAGTATTACGTGATTTTATAAAGATATTTTCAACAGATAATACAACTGACAATAATAGCGAGTAGAAAATCTATAATTTTTAACTTTATATGAAATGGTTTTATGTTATTGGAAAATGTTATAAGCTCGCAAATATTTTACTATTTTGTATGTACATAGAACTTCGATTATCCAATTTCATGTGAACCAGATGTATCCAGTTAAAAAAGCATGTTTTAGATAGAAATATCTATATTAAGTAAATAATCGGTGTATTGGATAATCGAGATTCTGCTGTGATACTAAAGACTGTTAATTATAGATTATAGATTACAGATAGTACTGAGAGAGAAGACAATGTTTATTTAATATATGACGACTAGTCCTTAATATGTATTATGTATGCTAAAAAGAGATTATTTCTTTTTATGTTATGTTATACAAAATCTTTTTTTTTTACATTATGTGATACTAACATAATTGTTTCTTTAAACGTTCTTTAATGCTAAAAGTTACTTCATTATAAATATAGATTACTATCATTTTCATAAAGAGTTGATAATTATTTTCTAAGAAAGGATATGTCGCATTGCTTAAGTCCGGATCTACAATAGGTGTTTTAAGACTTACGCTGTAAGAAATTGAGCAATTACAGTCGAATCCGAAGGGAATAATCGACTGTGATTTGCCCATTTCTTATGGCTGAAGACCTAAAACCCTATTGTAGATCCGGAGTAATAAGTAATCTTCTGATATAGCTTGTGCCTCATATATATTTAAAAATGACAATTGGAATATTTTTGCATTTCTTTATATATCATATACTATAAAAAATTATTATTTATTATTTATAGTATACGAAAACTATTTTACGCTAATTAAAAAAAAAATTGATTTACTTTATTCTAAACTGTATTAATAATCTGAAAGAAACATATTCTTATATTCTTTAAAATGTTTGTTAAAAGAGATTTTAAATTGTGTACTAATAAATAAAAACACAATTTTATTTTAAAGAAAGGTTTATTTATGTATACAAACATGTTCATTTTTTGTTACATAATTTCTAATTAAAAGGCAATATATTACAAACAATATCTCTTTTTATTTCACCTTGTATCCTATCATTTTGATTCTGTTCATTATAGATGTGCCTTTCTACATCATTATATTCTACATCATCGATATCTTCATTTAAATAATCATCATTCATGATACATGAATTATGTAAAACACAACAGGAAATAATAAAATTAGAGGAACGTTTAACGGTAATAAATTCTAGTGTCATCAGTTGTCTAAATCTTTGTTTTAATAATGCAAAAGTATTTTCTATTTTAACTCTTGTAGTAGACAATTTATGATTATAATTTTGTTGAGCCGCTGTGAGATTACCGTAATCTCTATAAGGAGTTAGTAAATATTTTTGTAAAGGATATGCCGCATCACCTAATATGTGATAATCGTTTGATATATTTTGTATCTCATCACTGAAAAATGACAACTGGAATATTCTTGCATCATGTATTTTACTCGGAGGACCAGTAAAAACGTCTAAAAATAATTTATGAGCATCACAAACTGCTTGCAGTGTTAGGGATGGATAATCATGTCTATTAACATAAGTGCTCTTGATTTTTTTAGCGGGCGTTCTGATTTTAATATATGTTCCATCAATACAGCCGAGAACTCCTGGAAATCCACATATCTAAAATAAAAATATTTTATGTTTAAACATATGAAGCTATTTTGAAAAATACATAATGTAAAAAAATATATTGCACACATTTTCAACATTTAATAAGTATTTACAAAACAAAAAAAGGATTTTTGACATATTTTTAAATATTTACTATATCTACTGATAATTATTTTTCTAATAACTGTTATGCGTTTATTTAAATATAAATAAAAAATTACACACATTTTCAAATTCATGAGCAACTAATCTTTTTCTTTCTTCTGTATCTGGCATTTTTATTATATTTGGAGCAATATTATTTAAATATTTAATAACGTTTGATACGATAGAATGAAAAGTAGATTCTGCTACATTAAATCTAGATGCAACGTCTCGTATCACACATTTGTTTCCTGCATACCTAAAAATGTAATATTATTAAGTATTTATCTATATTAATTATATAAATTTATAAGGATACATACCATAAGAATGATAACAGCTGTCTATCACTACTTATAACTTCCCACCCACCATGTTCTTTTAATGAATTAAAAATTTCTGAATTTGAGTACATAGTATTTAATTGGTCAAACGTGCTCCGTTTTAAACGAAAATGACGCTGAAACTAAAAAATATTTTAAATTATATGATATAATAAATATATAAAATATAAGTCGAAATTTCATATAACAGTTATAATTGATTATTATATAGAATATAGCACCTACGATTTTAATAAAATTAGGCTTAATCGACGCGTTTTTGCAATAAAAGAATTTGGCAGAAAAAATTGTCGCTCTGCCCCGAACCGAAATATGTGTTAAAATTACATTATAATTATATGATATAATACCTCTCTATCCGAATATTCATTAATAATTTCCATCATATTCTTTATTTTTGGAATTCTATCAGTTTCAGTACATTTCATTACTATTGCCGTTATTTCTTCATCACTGGAACTGCTTGAACTATCTATAAGTTCGTCCAATAATAATATTTTTCCTGCCATACTTTATAGGTTACGTCAACTTTGCACTGAACCGCACTGACAAAAATCTCAGTGCATTTCAGTGCGTTTTATACAATACAGTGCGCCTCAACCGAACATAGAAGTATCACTGAACTGGGGTAGTGCAATCCAATCGAACACGTTCTTACCAGCGCACGTTTTCAGTGCACCATCAACCGAACATGCTAAACATTCTGAACCAGTGGAGTGCAAGCCAACCGAACACAAAATACTGAAAGAGGGCGCACTCAGTGTGCACTCAGTGCGCACCAGTGCGCACTAGTGCATCCAACCGAATTCGCCATAAGTTAATCGAAGCTTGGTGACAATGGCCCTAAAGGAAGCTCTATGTGGCTGGCGGTGCAGCACTGATGGCAATGGAAGTTAAAGAAGCGATGCATACGTGGCTTCGAGAGCAACCAAAATTTTATAATGGTTTCAAATAAAAATTTTTTCTGTACGGTTCTCTCCATACTTCTAGGTTATTTGTTTCTTTTCACTGAAGTCGCTAAGAGTTAAGAGCACTCAAAATATCGTTCCAAAATGAAAGCTGCGTTTGAATGAAAAGCATGCTCACTAAAATTGGAACGCTATTGATAGCATGCACTTATGGCGACATACACGCAGCACTGGCAATCAATTTTGGAACACAGCCCTCGAAAGCTACAGTAGTCGCAGTGGCAATATGGCTATCATTTATGACGTCATTGATGTTACTAGATGCTATCGCAGTGCGCTGCGCACTAATAATGGAATGATTTTTCAGTACTGCCAGCACTGGTAATCTATATCGGAATACACCCAATGTTTCATGTTTTGCTGCACAAACGTCATGCTTAGAATTGTTTTTACTATTAGGAGGAATAAATTGTGATATACTCGTAGATTTCGACCATAATAGTTTAAAGTCTATCGTTTTTATTTTTAATTTCTTTTGATTTACTGTAAATATTCTCAAGAGTTGTTTAATTTTTTGTTCATTCTGATATTTTCTTTCAACCAATATTAAAATTGACTTCTTGTCGATTAAAGGAAGCAAGAGATACATGATCAAGTAGAGAGCGCAGTATTAGTCTATGATGTTTAAAAAGTTCATTTTTTGTGTGGCTTAACATTTTATACGCATCATTCAGTTCTAGGTTTATAATTTTACTAATGAAAGTATGCTTAACTCTATTCATTTTATTCTCTGATGAAAGCGCATGCAAATTACATTTATACTGAATAATTTCTTATAAATGTTTTGGAATTAATTTTTCATTTTCGACATGTTTTTAAGAAATAGATTTGAAGTCTTTTTTTATGTTTATGTTTTGTCTCATTAGTTTAATACGATTCTTTAACAGGACATAGACATGTAACGAAGAAAGAACTCAATTTTTATTTGTATACTATACATTTCTGCGTAATTTATAATTTATATTTATATACTAATGATGGCCCAATAGAAGGCTGAAACGTCTATTTTATTTATTAATTTAATGTAATTTTATGTATTGATTTTAAAAGAAATTTTGCTGTACGACATCAAGTGCTCGTGGTACATGCCTTTTATTTTTCTCTTACTATATTATCAGTTTCTTACTCTTAATCACTTAAATATTAACAGGGACACGAACTCCCGTAAGAATATCGGTCTTTAATAGTATCTCGTCGGTGACAACTGTACTATAAACTGTTTAAAACCCTTTTTTTATTTTTTATTAAACCAACCCTGCCTATTTACGAATTTTCGATTTTTAATCGATTCTTCAGAATCGATTAATTCCAACCCGATTAATCAAGTCGTCGATTCTTTTTTGCGAAATTTAAATGATTATATTATAACAATCATGAGCTACGAGTTAATATGATATATTTGTTACAAAGTTCAAATTAATATATTACAACGTATGTTTATGTTTGCGCTTGATGAAGTAGTTATAATGATAAAACGGATCAAATAATAAAAATTCAAAATATAATAACATAATAAAAAAATTCAAAACATAATAACCTAATACAAAAATTAAACATCGAAAATTCAGTTAGTAACAATGTTCATAATTATACACAAAACGTTTCGACCTATCATGAGGTCATCTTCAAGTTGTTAAAATAATAAATTGAGTTTGATTGCACTTAGTACTAATCATGGTTTGGAACAGTTCGCTCGATATTACTATTGATATGTTGTCTGCCGATGTTACATACACGTATAATAATTTTTATTCTTTTTATATATTATAGATACTATATCCCGGATATTATTTTAACAACAGCCCATAGTGCTCATGGTTCTCACAATATTAATGATCGGTCCGATTCGTTAGCGTCCGATTCGTTAACGATGATTTTGTTTCGGACCGTCTGTGGGTACAATCACGAGGCCCATAACCTGTGTATTATACTTGTGAATAATGGATATTCAACGTAAAGCTACATTATTACAATTGATGGAAATTGTACTCGAGGATTCAGAAAATGACGACGAACAATTAAATCTTATTAAGGACTTTGAATAAGTTCTCGCTGTTTTCCAACGGATGACGTTAACAGAACTGCGTGCGTGTTGAAGATGGGAACACATCGATAAGGAACTATGACAAGCAAGCTTGAAATTCAGCAGTGTTTGTCATCTCGCCGAAGTGTAAACAACTTTTTGTTTCATAGGCTGCGTTCAGCAGAACGTTTATTTTGCAACTGTTGGAAGTTTCCTTCGCGCTAATTGGATCATATTTTTAGATCTAGAAGAATGGTCCTATCTCAGCAGACAATCATAAAACGGTTGCAAAACTGTTGAGTCTGCTGAACGCAGCCATAGTGTTAAACATGTTGAGTTTCGTGCCAACAAAAGAGTATTTGCGGGGAATTTTACTGCACTACTTTATTCAAAAAAAGTGTTAAACATGTCGAGTTTCGTGCCAACAAAAGAGTATTTGCGAGGAATTTTACTGCACTACTTTATTCAAAAAAATCTGCAGCTGAAGCACACAGAATTCTTGTTGAGACTTAGGGTGAAATCACACGGTGTGGAAAAAGACTGCGGAATAGAGAATGCGTCATTGAAGCAACCAATCAGCGCTATTTCGAATAACGCTGAATAGCGTTGATTGGTTGCTTCGATGACGCATTCTCTATTCCGCAGTCTTTTTCCGCACCGTGTGATTTCACCCTTACGGCGACTATGCTCTGTCGGAAACAATATGCAGAGATTGGTTTAGATGCTTCAAAAATAATGATTTTTATGTTGAAGATAAAGAACGCTCTGGCGCACTGAAAAAGTTTGAAGACGAAAAATTGGAGGCACTGCATGAAGACTCATGTCAGACGCTAGCTGAACTTGCATAATCATTAGGAGTTGATTACACAACAGTTTCGAAACGTTTGAAATTATTAGGAATGATTCAAAAGCAAGGACATTGGGTGCCGTACGAGTTGAAGCCGAGAGACGTCGAATGGCGTCTTTTCACATGTGAACAGCTACTTCAACGGCAGAAAAGGAAAGGGTTTTTGCATCGTATCGTGACTGGCGATGAAAAGTGGATACACTACGATAACCCTAAGCGTAAAATATCGTGGGGTAAGCCCGGCCATGCATCAATATCGTCGGCAAAGCCGAATATCCATGATTTGAAGCTTCTGCTCTGCATTTGGTGGGATCAGCTGGGTGTAATTTATTATGAGCTGTTCAAACGAAACGAAACCATTACGGGAGATCGCTATCGACTACAATTGATGCGTTTAAGCCGAGCATTGAAGGAGAAACGGCCGCTATACAAGCAGAGATACGACAAAGTGATTTTGCAACATGACAACGCACGGCCACATGTTGCACAACCAGTGAAAACCTACTTGGAAACGCTTAAATGGGAAGTCCTATTCCACCCGCCGTATTCACCAGACATTGCCCCTTCCGATTATCACCTATTCCGATCGATGGCACATGGGCTGGCTGAGCAGCATTTTCATTCTTACGATGATGCCAAAAAATGGTCGACTCTTGGATAGCCTCAAAAGACGTGTCGTTTTTCCGACGTGGAATTCAAATGCTGCCAGAAAGATGGGAAAAAGTAGTGGCTAGCGATGGACAATACTTTCAGTGACATGTTTTTTACGACTTTTTTTAAATAAAGTATTACTTTTCATAGAAAATCAGCGAAAACTTATTCAAGGTCCTTATAAATCATTCATCTTCAAGTAGTGAGTCTCACCAAATGGTGAGTCCTGATAATCAACGATTCTAACCTCGATCCAATCATATTTATAATAATTATTAAAACAATTAATATTAATTATTATATTATTATCAATTACATTTAATTATTTTTATAAGCGGTTACTACCTGGATGCATCTATTTCACATTCAGTATGACAAAGGTTTCACGTAGTTGCGGATTACGTGAGGAATATCTGCCATACATACGCAATCCCTAGATACTGGTTACGTTTACACTGTACGACTGATAGCGACCTGACCTATATCGTGACCCCAAGTAGGTCTAGTCACCAACCGTTTACACCGAAAGGGACTTAAAAATTGATTGGGTCACATTTAGTCCACGCTGGTCCAAATTAGAGCCATCTATCGTATTTTGTACA